TTGGGGAATTGGGGGATGGGAACAGCTCTGGGGAATTGGGGGAAGGGGAACAGACAAATTGCTGTCCTTTTGTTCTTCAGTCTAGTTGTGGAGGACATCGCTTCACTGGCCCAAGTTGGCACCATCACTGCACTCCTCCCGGGTGAGGCACATCAGTTGCCGGCTTCTGGACGGCCGCTTATGGCGGCTGCTGGCTACACACAGTAGCCCATGGCAACCCACTGCAGCAGGGGCTGCAGCCTACACCGTCACCCGGCAACTCATGGTAGCCCAGCTCCAGGTTGAGCTGTTGTTCAGCATCTTAGCTGTAGAGGGCAGTGTCACTGGCCCTCATATGTGGGATCCGAACTGGGGCCCTCTGGCGTCCCAAGCCAGCTCTTAACCAATGCTCCACTCGGCCGGCCAAGAAGCATTTTTTTTTAAGGGTAATACGTAAGATTCTCCCTACTAGACATGAAAATCAATCATACGTCTAGAATAACTGAAATAGTGTAGTACTGAACACAAAGAGCCAGGTGAGGAAATCAGAATCGAAATCAGAATCAGGAGGACTTCTGAGTAAAGAGGCAACTTGAACACAAACATAAGACTCCCAATTCTGAGGAAAGAATGCAAAAATAGAGAGAAAAAATAGCTTTGATTCTGGAAGCTTACAAAGTCTGACACCCAAATGCCAGAACCATAAAAGAACATATTGGGATGTCTTGGAAAAGACACCAAGAAATCACTTTCCTTCACCACCCAGAGATGACCATATGACCTCAAAGGAAGTGAAGAAAAAACCACATGAATACCTGTAATTTGTAGGTGGTAGGGAGTTAGAACTGGGAGTACGGGAAAGCATGGGCCAAAAAGCAACCCTCTTCTCAGAGTATTTTTAACTACGGTGGATCAGTGGAGGTTTGCCAAGAGCTTTAGGGACACAAATGGCCATAGCAGGCTGAAAGCAGGGAGAGAGGTGCTGCTCAGCAAAGCACGAACAGATGGCCCAGGAAGGAGGCCACGTAATAGCTGAGGACAGCTGTGCCCAGAGGGAAAGGCTGCCTCACCAAGCACAGGGGTTTACCCAAAGCATCAGGGGTCTCCCATGTGCAGGAGGAAGCAGCCACAGAAAGAGAGGTGTTCATTCCAACCCCACCTCCAGCATCAGAGCTTTGCCAAACCTGGAGAAGAAGCCACCCAGGGACAAATTCCACTGCCAAGCCATCTTGGCCTTGGCCTTCTGGCCACTCTCTTTAGGCTTGGAGCCAAGCCACCAGCTCCAGTGGGAAGGAATGTAGCAGCTTCCAAGTGGTAAGAGCAGCAAGGCCAAGGGCAGTGGGCAACCCAGCCATACTTCACTAGTGAGAAGAGAACCAGAGCAACCTTTCACGAGAGCTATTTGCCCTCTGCACCAAAGCCTTCAAATTTGATACTTCCTGTAACCAAACAATTATACTTCTAACAGTGTATCCTAAAGTAATATTGAGTATGTGGCCCAAAATTAACCACAAAGACATTTCACTGCTGTTTTTTCATAGCAACATATTGAAAACAAACTAAATACCCAATAATGGGCATTTGGTTCAATAACTTATAGAATAACCAAAGAATAAAATACTGTGCAGCTACTAAAATAATACATTTTGAAGGATATTAAATGACATGGGAGTACATGTGTGATATATTACTAATAGAAAGCAGCTAATGAAGGAAAACTTATAATATGATCCCATATAAATATGAGGGGGAAAGAAACTCAAGTACACAAATCAAATATTAATAATTGTTATCTCTAGTTCAGGGATAAGTTTTTTTTCCTGGAAGCTTTTCTATATTTTGCAGTGTCTCTACACTGAGTGCATATTGATTTTGCTTTCCACCTCATTATACCTTTGGGTTACATTCTAAGAGAAACGTTCAGCTCCATTTTCTAGCTTACTAATTCATTTTTAACTATATTCATTCCAATATACAGCCATCCATTTGAGTTTAAGTTTTACTTTGACCTTGCAATCTTAATTTTTAAAAAATTTTAGTAAAACACACATAATATAAAATTTACCATCTTAACCTTTTTTAAGTTTACAGTTCTGTGGCATTAAATACATTCACACTGTTGTGCAGCCATCACCAACCATCCATCTTCAGCTATCTCTTCTTGCAAAACTGAAACTGAATACCCATTAAACAATACTCCTCATTCTTCCAGCCTCTGGCAATCACCATTCTACTTTCTATGAATTTGACTACTCTAGTCACCTCGTATAAGTGGATTCATACAACATTTATCCTTTTGTGACTAATTTGTTTCACTTTGCATAATGTCCTTCAAGCTTCATCCATGTTGTAGCATGTGTCAGAATATCCTTACGTTTTAAGCCAACTAATATTCTATTGTATGTATATCCACATTTTGTTCAACCAATCATCTGCTCATGGTCATATGGGTCACTTCCACCTTTTGGCTATTATTGAACATGGAAGTACAAGTATTTCTTCAAGTCTTTGCTTTCATTTCTTTGGGATATATACTCAGAAGTGGGAATGCTGGATCAATTGGTAGGTCTATTTTTAATTTTTTGAGGAGCTGTCATGTTGTTTTTCACAGTAGCTACACCATTTTATATTCCCACTACTAATATGCAAGGGTTCCAATTTCCCCACAGTCTCACCAACACTTTATATATACATCCTAATGGGTGTGAGGTAGTTTAGTTTATTTTTAATTAATGAATATTTTCTTGCCTGTCTCTAACAAAGACCTGTTCCATTGTTCACACTGTAATCCTGAGTATACCTTCTTTCATGGTAAGTTTGGAGTATTTTTTTCACGGTACTGACATTCCTCCCAGGTTAGGTGATTCTCGGTGGTACCCTCACAAAGTGCCCTTGTGGATACCTGTTAGATTGTCTGATGCACAGGTGAGCACAGCCTGAAGGAAAAAGAGATGTTCTGACACTTGTGTTTTGATCTGATTTCAGGGATTGGGAGAAAGGCATAGGATGACCAGTTGCTAGTTTCAGACAACGAAGGATTCTTAACCCTCTTAAGTATTGCCAACAATCTCGAATCCCACACCTGTGTCTCCCAAGACGCTGCTCCCACCTGCAGACAGACAATCCCATTTTCCATGACCAATGCTTGTTCTGTTGTGGGTTGGGGTACAGGAGATGGTAGAGATTAACCTCTTGCTTTGGTACCCCTACTAAAAACCCTATTAGATTGAGGCTTGGACCCCCTCCTGCTCCTGAGCAAGGAGGATTCTTGGCACAGTTTTCAATTACTCACCTGCGTATGTCTTGGAATATAGTTTTCCAGTCCAATCTCATATTCCTTTTATGCCTCATAGATTATTTATAGTTTTAAAAAAATTAATTAAGGAAGATTTAAAAACAAAAACAAATAGAATAGTATAACGAATCCCCATGTACCCATCACCACTCAACTTTAATTCATGAATACTCTTATTTCATCTGAATCTTCCATTCTCCCTTCCCACATTATTTTGAAGCAAATCCCAGGCATCATAGCATTTCATCCATAAACAGTTAAGCATGTGTCACTAAAAAATAAAGTCTTAGCAAAATCACACTATACTATTATCATATCTTTAAAAATCAGCAATTATTTAATTTCATCAAATACCTAGTCAGTATTAAATTTGCAACTGCCTCACAAATTTCCTATTGTTTTTATAATTTATTTATTTTTCTAAAAATAAGATAATTTTATTCACAAAAGAATCCTAAATTGATCTCTCTTTGCAAAAGTGAGTGATCTTTAGTAGAGTGAAGTGGATAAGAGGGCTTAATATGGAGGACCTATTATCTCCTCCAAGTAAGAATATGGAGGACACAATACATATAAAGCACTAGCACAATCCCTCGTTCATGGCCAATGATCAGTGCAGCTGCAGTGGTTGCTGCTGTTCTTGTTTTGGTTGTTATAACTTAGTTTCTTGCCTTTAACTCTGCCATGCAGATGGCATAGATTATTTATTGAGCCACTGAGGAATTCCACTTCTTTTTCAGTGTAGTCAAATGTCAGCTTTTTCTGTGCTTATTCTGAGCAACTTAAACCCAAGAACCAAGATGGTGAACTCAGAACCTCCCTGAGAAAATAGAATAGCCATAAGGAAAAGGATAAATGTTGAAAGATAGAATGTGTTTGGAGTAGAGGGGTGAAGGAGAAAAATCACAAACACTACACTCATAATGTATATATTTACTACTTGTATGTATGTATATGTATATGATGTAGAATCTGTGCTATGGATAATAACATAGATTTTTGTAATATAGAGTATAGTTTGGATGATTTACAATGTTTTAATTTCTCTAAGCAAAGCATGACACCAGGAGCCCTTCTTTGAATTTACCAATGCATTCCAGAGTCTCATACTACTACCATTGATTCTATTATCATATCTTTTGATAATAGGATCAACATGACATATTATGTTCCAGACACTCTGCTAAGCAACCTGCATACATTGTTTTTTCAAACTTTATAGCAATACTATAAGGTAGGCATTGTTCCCATTTGCAAATGAGAAAACTGAGGGTCAGAGAGTTCTTGCCCAGAATAACTCACCTATGAAGGAGCTAGAGATGGGATATAAACCCATGTGAGACTCCAAAGCCTATGTTTTCTTTACTCTGTCTCTTCTCTTGAAATTACAGACAAATTCCCAGAAGAAATTGATGGTATTTATCTCCCAAGTAGTATAGTAGGGAGAGAGGGAGCATGGTGCTCTGAAAATAATTTTCACTTCAAAGAGGAAAGAAGTGTTATCCTAGGTTGATACCAACTTACTGCAAAACCCTGCAACCTTCTCGGCTTCTCTCACCCTTCTTTCTCCGTGTCTACCACAGAAATTAAAATGTGCCTTACACAAACTTTCACAACTGTTCAGAAATAAAATGAGAAGTGATATGCAAAAACAAAGTATGATGTAAATATAAGTGATTGTGATCCTACTTAGCCTAATTCACAAACTGACCCTTCCTTTTCTAAGTTTTGCAGTTACGACTTCAACAGAGAAGGACCCAGGAACAACTGGCTAACCGAGGCATAATACCGCGTGAGTAGTTGAGTCTTCTATTTACTGACCTATTACCATGGGGCCACGTGATTTGGGCGCTGGACAGCACCTCAAAGGTCATTTTCGCTAAGCCCGTGGATCCTGATAGGCTCTAAGTCAGCAGAAACCCCACACTGTGGATCCTTTGCCTCAAATGCTACTTACCCACAAAGGCTTCCCTTTAATGATATAGGTTTTACTTAAAATTCTAATGTGGTGGGTTTGGTTTTAGGGTAAATATAAATCACTATGGGCATCCCTTTTCTTACTTTTAAAATTGGATATAATCACTATTCTTCCCAGGAGCATCAATCACATCATCTTTTTCTCACTTTCTCAGTCTCACTTCTGTTTGAAGTACTCGAATCCACAGTTAATTGAATATTGTCACGTGCTTCCTTTCTGGATTACTAAGTAGCAATACCATTCTAGCATAAACGGTATAACATTGAATTACTGGCCATAATTTGGGTTAAAGAAGAAGGATAATCATATCTTTTAGTAGATATATTTGAAATTTTCTACCAATTTAGCAGTTAAAGCTAACTCTTGGTAATTATAGAAATAGCGAAAAGGGTGCTCTGGGTGAATGAAGTCACAGTTTAAGCTCCTTTGGGTCATATTTTCTAACTTTCTCTCCCAATAAAGCTTAAAAATGAAGATCTATATAACTCTTGTAAGAATCCAGGTCCCTGTCATGACTAGTACTTCAGAGTTTAGTATGAAACAAGTGGAAGTTTGCCCTTGATAAAATGTCCCGCAGTTAGTAATATTAGAGCTCTATGATCCACAATTTTAAGTACAGTAGTGCTTCAGAGCCGAAACAGAACTGAGGATTTTTCAAGCTTTTCCAGTTGTGTTTCAAAGTAGCTTTTTTTTTTTTATGGCTGAGTCCTACAAACAGTAATCAGCAAGTGACCTTATAATGGAATAACTTTCTGAGAGGTTTGCTAAGCACAAAAGAAGCAGCTCACCCTGCAATTTAAAAGCTGCTTAAACTGGGCCGGCCGAGTGGCTCAGTTGGTTAAGAGCTCGCTCAAGGGTGCGAGCTCTGAGCAACAGCAGTTCGAGTCCCGGCCCGAGCTGAGCAGCTGCTGAGCTGCCAACACGTGGCAGGATGGCTCAGCTTAAAAAAAAAAAATGGACATAAAAGCTGCTTAAACAATAGGAACAACTATGATGAGCAGCTAAAGAAGCAAGCCTGTGTGTGGCCTGCTGCTCTTCGTCAGCCTACCTGTGGAGGGGCTCAGGACAGAAGAGACCAAAGGTCTACACATTTCAGGTTACGTAAATGGAACTTCACTCAAAGCTGACCAAGCCAGTCTGTTTAGGAATCCTGTCACTGATGTGTAGAATCCAATTTGTTTAACCATTATCTTGAAGAATTACTAAGATTGTAGACAAGTATAGGCCCACTAGGATCCTTTCAGCAGACCACAATCGGTACCATGTACCCTTAAATATGTGACAAGCCATCAATTTGAATAGTATTAAAATAATCCATCCCCGCACTGGTGTTTCTTTTCCTTAATTTTAGAAAGGCAAATGGAGAGGATAGAACCAGGACCTATCAGTCATTTCAGGCTGTTCACAACTGATTTAAAGTTCGACCCATATGCTTAAATTTTCTGAGCCTGGGTCTTGCAGCTGGCGTTTGGATGAGAATAAACTTTTAATTAATTAATTCATTCATTCATTCATTCATTCATTTAGATTAATAGGATTTAATATCTGGGAATCAGTAAAAACACCTAATAAAGAATTAATCCTATGTTGCATTTTTAAATAACATCCCTGTGTAAGTTGTGTAATTCAAAAGTCCATTTGTGTAGTAGGGTCCATTGGGGATTTATTTTGTTATCCAGGATTTCCAGAACTGAATAATGTACATATTAACAAAATACTGCTTGGCAGAAATTTTGTATCCATAGTCCATTGCATCATTAAGATAATTACTGGAACAAGTTATGTGAGTAACGAAATTCTTTTTTCTTTTTAATTTAGCAAATGATAAAGATTAATTAAACATCATTTCTTTTCTTTAGTCTTCAGCCACTCCCTCTCAGCGAGGCTTTCCAGAGGTGCAGATTCGCTGTGGAAAAAGGTCAAAGCCACAGCAGGTGCACACTGCAGGTCCAGCCTGCACAAATCGTGACTACTTAGCTCTTCTCAGAAAGCTAGACCCAGGTGGATCTCTTTACCTGCCAAGAGACTGGGGGCAGGGAGGAGATGTCCAGCCTCTTCAACCCAGTCAGAGATTAAACATTCAGTCTAATGCGGTTAGAGCAGGCTGTTTACTCAGGCACCTATGGGTATGTGTGTAAATGCAACCATGGAGAGGAAAGAGGAGTCAGCAGTCTCAAGGCCTTTTCAATTCCATCGAATTCCACACATGTCATTATAAACCAGACTATATGCAGGGTAATTGGCCAGACGCTCTAGGCACAATAGTCAACAAGACAGTCTTATGGGGAAACCCAAGATTTTAGGGGAAAGGGTGTCGAAAAACACACCTAAGTATCATTCAATGTGACACTTGTTACGTTCCACAAGAGGGCTTTTGATTTCTTCATTCTATTATTTGAATTTTTTGAAACAGAATAAAAGAGAAAAGGTAGAAGGAAGAGGATACAATGGAAGGAAGAAAAAACTGATAGTCCTTAGAGATCATCTAATTTCATGGTTTTCAATTTTTTTATTTGTTAAAGATATCTTATGTCGTGTATGTATGCACTGGCTAAAACAGGTTGGGAAGCCTCTGCCCCATTTATTCAGTCCCCCTCATCACTTCTGGACACCCCCTCATTACCCTCCCCAGAGAGCTGGTTCTCTTCAAAATAGGGTTTGAAAATCCCTGACCTAGTTCAAGTCCCATTGTCTTTAATGTTTGCAAAACTGAGGTTGAGGGGACCTAGGCAATTTTTCGAACATCCAAAGCCAGGTCCCAATCTGGTTCTATTTTCTGCAGATTTGAATTGTGAGAATTTAAGTCCATGCACAATAAAATTATTAATAAAAATCTCACTTTATAGATAAAATTTGAAATAATTGCAATCCTCCCCCACATTTTAAAACATCATAAATTGCCTAAAGTGAAAGCTGATGCCAAGTAAATTGTCCTTACGTTATTACTGTATGGCACTACTGTTTTCAGCAGGTCAACAGAAACACCTGCTATCCTTTGGCAGAATTAGTCTCGAGTTTAAGCTTAGGTTACACCTCAAGGGCTTGTCCATTGGAAAAATGCAACCACCTCCTATTGTGCATTGTGCCAGAGCTGAGACCAGAGCCTGTGTCTTCTGATCCCTAAACAGCAGGGCTCTTTTCTCAAATATTCAAAAGGAATCACCTAAACTTTTAAAGCACTTAAGTTTCTAACATAAAGCATTTTGTGGCCAAAAAATTCAGCTGGAGATAGATGATAGATAACATAGATGATATAGATGATATAGATATAGATATAAATATATGAAAACATCAAAGACAAACCTATGGATTTTGAAATGGCTTTAGGTTCTACATCATAATCTTTGCTTCACCGTGACCAAGATTCAATGAAGAATTCCACTGACTTAGCTATATGGCAGATCGCAATTCAACTACATGCCAAATTGATGGTTAAATTGTAAGGTTTCCCACCCCCACTGACTCCAGTGAACCAAGTCATGCATAATTTTCAGTTGACTAATGAAACTAGTCCAAGTGGATTGAATTTAATTCTTTCCTTCTTCTTGGCCACACATCCTGTAGGTTTTGAGGTTGCCTATGAGTAACAAAGAGCCCACAGCAATTGTGGACAAATTCTCTTTTATAATCCCCCTTAATCACTTCCCTTAAACATTTACTTATTTCTTATTTGCATGCATTATGGGTTTAGGACTTCCCATCAGGTGCTTTGAATGAGTTTAAAGGCTTTGTTCCTTGACTTTGAGTAAATTGGGGGGGTGGGAGGGGCGGGTTCTGAGGCCAACACTGAACCTCTAGAATAACTTTAAACAAGGGAAAAGAGTTCCCAGGCCAGGAGCATGGGCCTCAGCCAATTCTAAGATTGCTTTTACATTTATAATATCAATTGTGGAATTCACACTTTCAAAATAGTCATAAAATCTTAGTAACTATCTTCTTGAAGATAACTTAAGAAATATTTAAGAATTTATTGTTTGGACTCATTTTCAAACTCTTATCTCTGAATCTCAGAATGGAGATTTCAAATTGCCTACTTTGTTATCATCAACTAGAATTCAAAGGGAATGGTTTCACTGCCCTTCCCTTCTGGGCTGCAAGAGGACATCAAGGTTCCCTAACTTTCTCATGTCTGTAGGACAGAGCACAAAGTGAGCCTCCTCCCTTTGTAGACCTCCCTTTGTAGACCTCTTCAATTCGTGGTGCAAATTTTCTCACCTACAGTTATTTCCCTCAGGCATTACTCTCCTGCGTAGAATCTCAAATGACACCATTTTATTCCAACCACTTCAGAAGCCTTAGTGCAGAAGGATGATCAGCTAGTATATGGATTCGATGCAGTTAATGGTCATAAAGCAATTAAGTCACTATTTGATCATCTGCTGTGAGAACCGCCCTGTAGAGTACAAGAAGAATCAGACATGAATTCTTTTTCAAATTGCTTACAGTCTAGAATGGGCCACACCCCTGCTTAACTGTCCCCATTAACAATACTGGATGTCACATCACTACATGGGAGTCGGTATCCTGGAGGACTGAAGGAAAGAAATTACTTTCTCTTTCCCTCTCCCTCTGCTATAAAAGAGAGGTTAATCTATTGTATATGAACCCAGGGGAGAGGCGGGTATATTTAGCTTATTTTCCTAGAATGCAGAAAACAGGATTAGAGAACTGAAGTGGATTGTGTAGGATCAAGGGGGACCCAGAGAGACTGTGACTTCTCCACAAAGACTCAGAGAAAGCCTCTGCTGGCCAGAATGAAATGTCTGGGCAGCTTTGGTTCCATGATCTGATCAATGTAAATGAATTTAAAGATA